TATACATATGTAAATCCAATCCTAGTATGGCAGTAAGTAAAAATATACTAATGYATTTAAAATTTAAGGTTTATATAACTAAAAAAACAACAATACCTACTTGCCTTGTCCTATTTATTTCTTTAATAAGTAGGTTATAACTTATAATAAGTAACAATTATTACACATTATTAATATATATTTATATATTTATTTTAGATAATGTATATGCAAGCTTTAGTGGCTGTCTATTTAATCGGAAAATTAATTGGTAAATTATTTTTTGGATCATTACGCCCTGCAGAATCGGAGGTATTTATTTTATACACTAAACATTTTTATAGTACAATTTCAAAATCTTTGTTATTTAATTGCTTTATTTATGTATTTATATTTTTAGCGTTTGATAGAAAAGGCCTGGTATGCTGTGACAGAAACATGTTTAGCATTTACTATTTTTAAAGATGACTTGAGCCCTAAATTTGTAGCTCTATTTACTTTATTATTATTTCTTAAATGTTTTCATTGGCTGGCAGARGATCGAGTAGATTATGTAAGTTTCTATATTTTATATTTAACAAACATGTTATGTAGTATATATTTATGTTAATTATTTATAATTTTTATGTTTTAAGATGGAACGTACTCCAGTTATATCATATATATTTCATTTGCGCATATGGTGTAAGTAATTAGAATATTCAAATATACACATTTTATACTTTTAATATAATTTAAATTGTTTTTTGAACAGTACTATTAACTATCTTAACTTTGGGTGATATATATTTTGTTCATGATGCATACACTACTACAATGATCAAAGGCCCATCAGTACAATTAGTATTTGGATTTGAATATGCATTACTCATCACGTTAGCAGCTAATGCTGCCTTTAAGTATGTATTGCATGCAGTTGATGTACATAGTGACACCTTTTGGGAAAGTAAAGCTGTTCTCCTGCTGTACCTTGAATTTTTTATTGGTAAGATTATTTTAATATATATTTTCTTATCTATTACTAAGTAATGAATGTTAAGTTTAAGAAAAATACAGTTTATAGTCGTATATAAAGGTTGTAGTTAGATATAATCACCTGAGAAAACAGTAGAATTTTGGTTGGATAAATTTAATTTTTGGTATATTAAAAATTTAACTGTGTTTTAATTTAAGTGATTTTGAATATTTATATGTTTTTTAACTGAAATATCAAGGAGCATAAAAACAATAATTATATTATTATTATTATTATTAATGTATATCAAACATTTTTTGGAATATTAAATATTTTCTGCAGTTATAATGTGTTTAACATTTCAATGTATAAAAATCAAAATTTTATTAACCTAAGTACTGTAGATTTGTTAGGTGATATCATATTTTATATTGTTTTGAATGGTTTGAAAATAATGACCCATGAATAATATTTATTGAGATCATATATTCATATGCCTGTGCGTCAAGAAGTGCTCTAATTATAATATGTAAACTATTAATTTATATGCGTGATAACATCACCAGGTTAAAATCATATACACTGATTAGTCATCTGAATATTTTCTTAGGCATTTTTCTTCTTTAAACACTTTCTGCAGTCTCCTTAATAACTATTGTATTATTTTTAAAAATTATCTGTTTTAAATTAATTATTTATACCATTTTAACTAATCCATTTATAATATGATTTATTAGGGATGTGTAAAGCTGTGATGTATGTGGCTTTCCTTATAATCATGGTACGAACATACACAATACCACTATTTGCTTTTCGACCAATGTATCATACACTAAGGTAAATAAAATAAAAATAATTTAAACAATTCATTTTATATATTGGTTCAAATATATTTGTTATCAGTATAACTAAAAGCATTAATTATAAATTCTTTAGAAAGGCTTCATAAGAACGTTAATACTTATTTTGGAAACAAATCAAAATAGCCAATAAAATAATAGATTGTTTACATAAACTGTATTATAAAATGATAGTACTTATGTCATTAACTCTTAAATAATAATTAGAAATATTATTGTTTATTGAGCAACTTAAGAGTTTATTAAAAAAAATTTAAGGGCTTATCTATCTAGAATTTATAAGCAATACTAATGCACAAACACATTATTTTGTAGAAATTTCAAAAAAGTATTCCAAGATCTTGTACTCTCTCGTAGAGCAATACATAATATGAATACTTTATACCCGGATGCTACATTACAAGATTTACAAGCCATTGAAAATGTGTGTATTATATGTCGGGAAGATATGACTGCTGCAGGTAATATTTGATATTATATTAATATATTATTCATTTTATAACTATAAAGTAATTTTAACTATGTAACAAATTGTATAGTATTAGTTAATTTATTCATTGTATTAAAATAATAAAATAAAACTCTAATTCTTTAAATATTATTTTCAGCTGCAAAAAAATTACCTTGTAATCATATATTTCATACATCATGTCTACGTAGCTGGTTCCAACGCCATCAAACATGCCCTACTTGTAGATTAGATATTTTGCGCCCAACACCTTTGACAACTCAGAATTCTAACGCTCCCATACCAGCAACACCAACACCTGGCAGAACAGCACAAGAAACACCATTAAATGATTCAGCTGCATCATCATCTGTTACTGATAACAGTAATGGATCATCTACTAGCAATCATACACATGGACCATCTAATCAAGCAGGAAGTAGTGGAAATTCCTATTATAATCAAACACCACTCCAGTATCAATTTAGACCATTTACATTTCAACAACGATCAACGTCTATTGATGAAATTAATGGAAACAACAGTGATAATTCAAATAATGGTATACCTGAATCAAATAATATGAATGAATCGTGGATTTCGTTTATGAATGCAGCAGGAATAAGTGGTGGAATTGGACCATCAACATTATTCAGTAATTAAAAATCCCAATTTCAAAGATAAAATTTAAGAAGTTAAATTTAATATATATTTTTTTTTTTAATTAGATGATATGCCACAAACTTCCTCTAATTTACCATTTACACCACACATTCCACTTAATTTACCATTTGTTGGCGGTAAGTTAATTTAATTAAATCATTAAAATGAACTAATGTTAAAGTTAATTTTACTTAATTTTGTATTATTTTTATTTTATTAAGAGAGTACTCGTAATTCTACCCAAATGATTTTAAAAATATTCATTTTATATTAATAATTTATAATATTGCTTGAAATTTGTTTCTTCGTGTAGTTAGAAGGGACTATAAATTTCGAAAAATAATGTTACCGGCAGTATTTTAACCGTTTAAATATTTAGACCGAGTAATATGTTATATTAAAATATTTCAGCTTGATAATGTCTTGGACGACTGTATTTGATTCGAAAATAATTTAATCTTAAATAATTTAGCCATCAGTATTTTATCCAATGTTCCAAACAATATTTAAGCTTTCGTCTAATAATGCTCCCCAAAATATTTGTCTACTAAAATACAGTCAATTTAAATAATGTTAAGGTAAAATATTTGTTTGATTAGATTAATATTGGATTAAATATAGTTTTGCTAAAATACAATTAAAAGATGTTCAACTAAAATGTGRMTCGAACACAATATTTTCGGAATATGCACCCCAAATGAGAATTTAGGTAATAGGTTGAATAAAAAAGCAAGTCTTAATTTACATGGGAAATCATAAAAGAAAAGAAGAAGAATTAAATATGTAAAATATTATAATTTTTTATTTAAAATTCACAATATGTTAGTAGTTAATAATCTATACCATAGTTATATAGATTTTCAATCCAAAAAGATTAGGGT